AAAAAAAAAAAAAGAATGTGGCATCAAGACTGGCGCACGAATTATTAACAACCTGCGATACACTGATGACACAACTTTGCTTGCTGAAAATGAGGATGAGTTGAAGCAGTTACTGATGAAGAATGAAGAATACAGTCTGCAGTGTGGACTACATCTCAATATAAAGAAAACAAAAATCCTCACAACTAGACCGATAAGCAGCAACACAATAAATGGAGAAAAGATTGATGCTGTCAAAGAATTCACATTGCTTGGTTCTACAATTGACGCCAAATGAAGCAGCAGTCAGGACATCAGACAATGTATAGCACTGGGCAAGTAAGCTGCAAAGGACCTCTTTCCAGGGCTGAGGAGCAAAGATGTCTCCTTGAGGACTAAGGTGCGCCTGACATAAGCTATGGTATGTTCAATTGTCTCATATGCATGTGAGAGCTGGACAATGAATAAGGAAGACTGAAGAAGAATTGATGCTTTTGAGTTGTGGTGCTGGTGAAGAACGCTCAAAGTACCATGGACTGCTAAAAGAACTAACAAATCTGTCCTGGAAAAAGTGCAGCTGGAATGCTCCTTGGAAGCGAGGATGGCCAGACTTTGTCTCGCCTACTTTGGTTATGTTGTCAGAAGGGACCATTCTCTGGAGAAAGATGTCATCCTTGCTAAGGTGGAGGGTCGAGGAAAGAGGGGAAGACCTTCAACAAGATGGACTGACACAGTGGCTGCAGTGATGGGCTCAAGTATAGCAAGGATCGTGGAGCTGGCGCAGGTCTGGGTGGTGTTTCATTCTACTTTGCATAGGGTTGCCATGAGTCAAAGATGACCTGACAGCACCTAACAACAACACTGCCAAGAATGTTTTCTTTTTTGAAATGTTAAAAGAAACCAGTTCCGGGTAAGAATTCTATTTCTTTTAGATCTGGTGGTGGTTCTAATACTCCATAGAATTGTACTCTTTTTCAGTTCCATGGAGGAAAAATCATGATAAATAAATACACAAAGTAAAATAAATAGTGTGATGAAAGAAAATCAAAAAAGCCATGTATTTTTAATAAAGGACCAAAGATTCTAGGATGAGAAACACATTCCAAAAAATAAGAAAGAAAATATACCAAGTAAGAAAATATAAATAAGATTGAGATACATTTTAGAGATACATTTAAAAAATTTTCTAGTTTTAGATGGAGAAATGACTTACATCACTTCCTTATTCCTACGAGGCCCTTCAAATGGTCTAAATGGCAGTGATCCAGTAGCTGCATGGTAAAATGTTACCCCAATACTCCAAAGATCAACTGTTGCTCCATATTTCTTCTGGTGATCTTTTCTCAGCACTGCTCTTTCATACATATCAGGATGCTGAAAAGATAAAAAACATATTAGGTTCTGACTTCTTGTCATACATTACACAATCAATACTCAATGCCTAGAAATTGTATCATGTTTTCTTAATAATTTCTCTTTCTAATTCTGAAAAGACTATTTCCCATCTTTCTTTCTCTCCTAAAATCTCCAACACTACTTCCTTTAACACTCAATTCTGACCTCACTTCATATTTCAACCAGGAAATAGAAGCAGAGATCAACTTTCCCTTATGTCCTTTACCACATACCAATCTGCCTGCATCTGTACTCATAATCCAGGCCTGCTTTCCAGTTACAACAGAACTGTTCCCATCAAAGGCCAGCTTTTCCATTTGTGCTATGGAATCCATCACACAGTCTCACCAATTCTAGTAATAATTCTCCTACAATTACTCCATTTACTTTATACATCAATTTCTTCCTCTCTATTGGATCATTTCCTATCAACTCATAAGCAAGCTTAATTATCTTCCATTTTTAAAACCCTAAATTGATCCCACAATGTCCTCCAGCTACCTTCCAATTCTCTGCATTCCACCACAGCAAAACTTCTCAAAATAGCTGTCCATACTTATCATCTTATTTTATTCTTATTTCCTCAGCTACCATTCAGGACTCAGATATTAAACACCATCTATACACTGTAACTTCCAAAACTATCTTGGGCTCTGGGCTTCAGACTTATTTATCCCACATTCTCTAGAATGTCTAAAAGGCAGCTTGAACTGAACATGTCCAAAAATGTCCTCTTACTCATTTCCCCCTGATCTTCATTCTCTAGGTAAATGGCATCACCATATATTGTTGTTCATACCCAAAACCATTCAAGCAGCCTTGATACTGTTCCTTCATTTCTCACATGTAATCCAGTAGAGCAAGTCACAAGGACTCTAAAATGAAAATAAAATTCTCTAGAATCAACTCAGAGGACTACCTTAACTGGGTTCACCAGGGATCTAGGCACCCAGTAAAGTAGTTGGTCTGAAGTTAAGCACGTTTTTAAACACAGGAGACATCATACTAGTTACTGAGAACAGAATCCTATAGGGTATATCATAAGAGTTTAAGGATCCAGAGATTCTGGTGGACATTTAACTCTACAGAGAATAAGTGGTCATACATATTTAGCCTCTAGACATCTATCTTCCCATACAGGAGTTATGCAGTGGCAACTTGAAGATTCTTGGGACATAAAGCCACAAGACTGTACTCAGGACCAAAGCAGATTTCAAATCATCTCAAACAAAAACAGTCCCTTATGACATTGTGGCATTTGGCTGTAGCCCAGGGGATTGAGAACCAGTACAGGTAACACTGGTGAGAGGATGCTTCTAAATGATATGATCTAGGAATCTGATTCCCAAAGGATCAAAACCCCTGAATTTATATTTTAGGGGAGGGTGGTAGGGGTTGAGCAGGGAGGATTCTTTTAAGAAATACATTTTAATTAGAAATCAGATATACAAGATAAGATCAGGGGTTTGAGGTGGGTATCCAAACATATACCTACCAGATATATAGGGTCTGAGTGGTTTTGGTACTTCTAGGGCATAGCATGTAAAGTAACTATTTTGGAAAGAAGTGTTAGCCAGATCTTTGATCTAGAAGCTGGTACATAGTGTATAAATGGTACCATGAATAGACTTAGAGTACCCAAACATGTCTGGCATCTTCAGGAACACCAGGCCACCAACCTTGGAAGAGACATAGGTGTAATCTCCTCAGACAGGGGCAACAATGTATTCCTTAAATGGTATAGTTGGAAGCTATTACTCAATGAGTAACTGACTGGTAGTGGCTTGACACATGCTGGTCTGACCTGTCTATGAGCATCAGTTCTCATGTGTTACTTGTGCTTGTGCAGGGCTCAGTATTACAGGCCTGGGCCACTGGAGCAGGAGTATGAGCAGAGTACTACTCCAAGGTTCTCATGATTATATTACTGAAAAGATATCCATTGAATTAATAATCGTGGAAGAAAGACTGTTACATATTTCTTTGGACTTTGGACACAAAAAATGGAGAGGATTTAACATCTGGCTATCTATTCTTGGGAATCTCAAAATCAGAGGTTTTCATTCAAATATGGAACACTTCTAGATTGGTAAGCTTTAGACTTATTTATCTCATCTGAAAACTGAGCTGGGCATAATCTGAGATAGGACACAAATTACACTAAAACTTCAGCCTAAGGTATAGCATGGATTTGGAGTGAATTTATTTAATGTTCTGCTGTTCTCAATTTTAAAAAAGCCTGCTAGAGGTAACAGCTGAAGTGTGGTCCAAGGAGGCTATGTGGAAGAGTCACTGTTGGTATTTTGGGAGTATCCTCAGGAAGGCTGGTGTAGGACTGTTTTAGTCATCACAATAACTGGGAGGGGCTACTGGTATTTAGTAGTCAGACACCAGAGAAGGGGTATTTTTGCAGTTTTTTTCCCTGGAATGCAAGTGTGTATAAAAAAAGGGAAGACTGTATTTGTTTAGTTAAACTCTTTACTAAGAACTCTTCAATATTTTGGTAAATCACGTCCATGAAAACAACCCCCCTTTTAATACATGATTCACTAATACACCATAAACTGCATTGATGACAACATAGATATTTGATACAAAGTGAGTGGTGGCAAATGATGGCTAATGTCAAATCTGAGCAAAAAACAAAGGCCAAATTTTTAAAAAAAGATAAAAGAGAAAAGGCTAGTGTTCCTGGACATATCACTGTGTTTGCATTCAAAGGCACAGACAGGTACAAGCATCGGAACTACTTTACTTTCTTTGCTGGAGTTGTTCCTGAACTTTTACATACCTATTATTTGATTAGGAAATGTTTTCTTTTACCTTATTACTAAGATAATGTACTTTTCTAATCTTCTGTCAGTTTGTTGTGCTGTGGAGGCTCATGTGTTGCTGTGAGGCTGGAAGCTATGCCACAGGTATTTCAAACACCAACAGGGTCACCCATGGTGGACAAGTTTAGCAGGGCTTTCAGACTAACACAGACTGAAATGGATGGAGCCATGCATTCTAAAAAAAATTGGCCAGCAAAAACCTTATGAATAGCAATGAAACACTGTCTGACATAGTGTCAGAAAATGAGGCCCTCAGGTTGGAAGTCACTCAAAATAAGATTAGGGAAGAGCTGCCTCCTCACAGTAGAGTCAACCTTAATGACATGGATGGAGTAAAGCTTTGGGGTCTTCACTTGATAATGAGGCATGGCTCAAAATGGGAAGAAACAGCTGCAAACATTGGACTGTAGAATGTATGAAGTATGAATCTAGGAAAACTAGAAGCTGTCAAAAAACGAACCAGAACACATAACAATTGCTATCCTAGGCATTAATGAGCTGAAGTGGACTGGTAATGGCCATTTTGAATCAGACAATCATATGGACTACTATGCTAGAAATGATAAAATGAAGAACAGCATCACATTCATCATCAAAAACAATGGGTCAAGGAGAGGCAGGGCAAGATGGCGGACTAGGCAGAAGGATTGCACAGACCCTCTTC